CCTGGGTTACAGAGTGAGAAAATGAAGGAACAAGAAAGTACCAAGGAAGGGAGACACATTTTACATTCTACAGTGACACAGAACATCTCCTGGCTTCCCAAAATAGCATTTTGTCTTGTTTTTGTTTTTTGAGACATGGTCTTAAGTAAGTAACCCACTCTGGTTTTGAATTCTACATACAACCAAGACTGGCCCCTGGCTCCTGTTGCTTCTGCTCCCACCTCCCTAATCCTGGGTTTACAGGCATGTGCCGCCATGCTAGACCCGGCTCTCACTGACAATAGTTATTGTGTATCTTCTTATTGCCATTCTAGGGGTAGGCATCTCGTTGGAGTTTAATTTGTATTTCTTTAATAACTAGCTGAGCATGTATTGCAAGTTTAATGGATATTTATGTATATATCTTCTTTCATAAAATGTTATTGATTTGTTGGTCATTTTAAAATCTGGGTATAGGGGGCTGGGAAGATGGCTCAGAGGTTAAGAGCATTGGCTGCTCTTCCAGAGGTCCTGAGTTCAATTCCTGGCAATCACATGGTGGCTCACAACCAACTATAATGAGATCTGGTGCCTTCTATGGTGTGCAGGTATACATGTAGGCAGAATATTATATATATATAATAAATGAATTATTTATTCATTTAAAAGAATTTTAAATCTTTTAAAAGGTGTTAATCACATTTTTTTGTACATTTGGAAATCTTGGGTATTTATGAGTCTGTTACAATGTATATCACACTTCCACAAGTCTACAAGCCTATTTTTGTTTTGCTGTGTTTGAGAGATGTTGTTGCTAACGTTGCTGTTATCTGTTTAAAACAAAGGCTTGTTTAGCCCTGGTTAGCCTCAAACCCATTTCTTAGCCAAGACAATCTTGAATTTCTGTTTCTCTTGCCTCCACTTCCTGTGATGGGATTACAGGAGTGAGCCACCATACCCAGATCTAAATCTGGGTGTTTTTAACTTATGTTATTAATGATTATATTGAATGGTTCTCTAATTTTGACATCATGACAAGTATAGCTAAGAAACCTGCTAAATACCTGGGCCTCTATACACAAATAGCTATGTCCCTGCTATTGAAAAAGCCAGGAGGCATTTAAACATTCTTGCTATTGCTGTCCTAGGGCTGAGGAGGAGGTTGATAGGTGGTCGGATTTTGTAGAAATGCATGAATGTGTGGAGACTCCTGAAGTATGTTGGAAGGCTGCATGTGTCAGCAGGCATCATCATGCATAAGCAGGCCCAAGGTCCTTGTTTTTCTCCATGGGAATGTGGTCTTAAAGAGAAACAAGCACACATCCCACAGACACTGATCAATACGTGCTTTGACTCACAGACACTGATCAATACGTGTTTTGACCCACAGACACTGATCAATACGTGCTTTGACTCACAGACACTGATCAGGGTGTGCTGGTGGACACATTATTTCTACACAGTTAGCAGTTAAAAGTGTCCCTATATTTTATTTGCCTTTTTATGGTTTTGGGTTTGTGTGTTGTTTTGTTTTGTTGAGACAGGGTCTCATTTCATAGCCCTGGCTGGCCTACAACCTACTATACAGACCAGGCTAGCCTTAGACTCAGAGAGATTGACCTGCCTCTGCCTCCCAAATGCTGGGATTAAAGGTGTGGATCACAATACCCAGCTAGGTTTTCCAAAATTCTTTTTTATTTACTTTTTAATTTTATGTGTTCGGGTGTTTTAATCTACATGAATATCTGTGCACTCTGTGCATTCAATGCCCTCAAAGGCCAGATGAGGGCACCAAATGCCCTGGAATTGGACTTACAGATGGGTGTCAGCCTCCATGTGAGTGCTGGGACCCGAGCCCAATAGGGAAATCAAGTGTTCTTAACTTGTGAGCCATCTCTCCGGTCCCTTATTTGGGTTATAATTTGGTGATCCATTAGGAGAAATATTGAGAAAACCTTAAATTATGTAACACTGTTAACTGATGATTGTGAAATGATTTACTCATGATATACAATGCTGGGGCACGATTTAACTATATTCAAAGTGTTTCTTTTTGTCTTTTGACTTTTTAAAATTTTTTTTATATATTTATTTATTTATTCTGTATACAATATTCTGTCTGTATGCCTGCAGGCCAGAAGAGGGCACCAGACCTCATTACGGATGGTTGTGAGCCACCATATGGTTGCTGGGAATTGAACTCAGGACCTTTGGAAGAGCAGGCAATGCTCTTAACCTCTGAGCCATCTCTCCAGCCCCTTGACTGTTTTATTGATATTTATTGAGCTCTACATTTTCCCCTGCTCCCTTTCCCCTTCCTGCCTCTTCCCTCCCCCTTCAACCTTTCCCCAAGGTCCCTATGCTCCCAATTTACTCAGGAGATCTTGTCTTTTTCTACTTTCTACTTCCCATGTAGTTTAGATCTATGTAAGTCTCTCTTAGTGTCCTCATTATTGTCTAAGCTCTCTGGGATTATGGTTTGTAGGCTGGCTTTCTTTGCTTTATGTTTAAAAATCACCTATGAGTGAGTACATATGATAATTGTCTTTCTGTGTCTGGGTTACCTCACTCAAAATAATGTTTTCTAGCTCCATCCATTTTCCTTCAAAATTCAAGATGGTTTTTTTTTTCTGCTGTGTAGTACTCCATTGTGTAAATGTACCACATTTTCCTTATCCATTCTTTGGTTGAGGGGCATTTAGGTTGTTTCCAGGTTCTGGCTATGACAAACAAAGCTGCTATGAACATAGTTGAGCACATGTCCTTGTGGCACGATTGAGCTTTCTTTGGATATATACCCAAAAGTGGTATTACTGGGTCTTGAGAAACGTTGTTTCCTAATTTTCTGAGAAATCGCCACACTGACATCCAAAGGGGTTGTACCAGCTTGCATTCCCACCAGCAATGCAGTTTTCCCTTTTCCCCACAACCTCTCCAGCATAAGTTGTCATCAGTGTTTTTGATTTTGTCCATTCTTTCAGGTGTAAGATGGAATCTCAGAGTTGTTTTGATTTGCATTTCTCTGATGACTAAGGATGTTGAGCATTTCCTTAAGTGTCTTTCAGCTATTTTAGATTCCTCTGTTGAGAGTTCTCTGTTTAGGTCTGTACTCCATTTTTTTTTTAAATTGGGTTATTTGTTCTTTTGGTGGCCAATTTCTTGAGTTCTTTGTATATTTTGGAGATCAGACCTCTGACTGATGTGGGGTTAGTGAAGATCTTTTCCATTCTGTAGGCTGTCGTTTTGTCTTGTTGACCGTGTCCTTTGCTTTACAGAAGCTTTTCAGTTTAGGAGGTCCCATTTACTAATTGTTTCTTTCAGTGTTTGTGTTGTTGGGATTATATTTAGAAAGTGGTTCCCTGTGCCAATGCGTTCAAGTGTACTTCCCACTTTCTCTTCTATAAGGTTCAGTGTGGCTGGCTTTATGTTGAGGTCTTTGATCCATTTGGACTTGAATTTTGTGCATGGTGATAGATATGGGTCTATTTTCATTCTTCTACATGTTGATATCCAGTTATGCCAGCACCACTTGTTAAATATGCCTTCTTTTTTCATTTGATATTTTTTGCTTCTTTGTCAAAAATCAGGTGTTCGAATGTGGATTGATATCGGGATCTTCTATTCTGTTCCATTGGTCGTCCTGTCTGTTCTTATGCCAATACCAGGCTGTTTTCAGTGCTGTAACCCTGTAGTAGAGTTTGAAGTCCCATTGTGATACCTCCAAAAGTTCTTTTACTGTACAGGATTGTTTTGGCTATCCTGGGTTTTTTGCTTTTCCATATGAAGTTGAGTACCATTCTTTCAAGGACTTTGAAGAATTTTGCTGGAATTTTGATGGGCATTGCGTTGAATCTGTTATAATTGTTTTTTTAAATCGGCTGTTACTGTGCCTACTTCTTAAACTTCATTTTTCCCCAAATCCACAACTTCTGTTCCCAGTTTAACAAGTTCTATCACTTTTCTCTCATTTGATACCACAACCATATTCTTTATTGTGTGTGTAGCCCTGGGTGGCCTGGAGCTCTCTATGTTAACCAGGCTGGCTGGTCTTGAACTCACAGAGATCCTCCTGGGACTAAAATGTATGTATGCTACCCATGCAGACATATTTCTTTTCTTTTTTAAAATATGTATACAGTGTTCTGCCTACATGACAAAGGGGGCACCAGATAACATTATAGATGGTTATGAGCCACCATGTGGTTTGTGGGAATTGAACTCAGGACCTCTTAAAGAACCGTCAATGCTCTTAACCTCTGAGCCATCTCTCCAGCCCCATAATCTTTCTTTTAAACTCCCTTTTGACTTTTCTTTTCTTCTAGTTTCACTGGCATCACTAACTGCGATGCGGGGCTGAAGAGATGGCTCATAGGTTAAGAGCATGGGCTGCTCTTCCAGGGGTCCTGAGTTCAATTCCCAGCAACCATCTATAATGAGATTTGGTGCCCTCTTCTGGCATGCAGGCATACATGTAGGCAAAAGACTATACATAATAAATAAGTCAAAAAAAAAAAAGAAGAAAAAGAAAGAAAAGAAGAAACACGATGCTTCAGAAAGAGGGGCACGAAGGGAAGGATGGATGGAGGGAGGGAGAGAGGGAGGGAGGGTGGGCGGAAGGAAAGAAGGAAGGAAGGAAGAAAGGAAGGAAGGAAGGAAGGAAGGAAGGAAGGAAGGAAGGAAGGAAGGAAGGAAGGAAGACGGAACCTTAGAAGAGGGATGGGAAGTTAAAGCCGAGCTTTCGAATGGAGGACTTCGAAGTGGGTGTGGATCACTACTTTCTAAAAGTTGGGAGAAACCCAGAGAAAAGGTAACATTAGTCTTTATCGCTGTCAATTCTTTCTCTCAAGCTTTGGACGGCTATAGGTACTCAAGACAAAGTTGGCGTTCCCGGGGTCCGTCTCGACTGGTTTGTGACGGGACACGATGGCCGCTTCTTCCGACGTCTCCCAAGCGGACCAAAATGTACTCGAGTGCTAGGCGGAACCCCCGCGCCTGGCGGAGGTTGCCGCTCGGCGCCAGTAGCGTGTGCACGTGCGCATTGGCGCTTCCGGCGCTGCGAGGAGGGCCCGCGAGGATCGTAGTTTGCTTCGTCGTGCTATCCTGCATCCCAGAGCAGCGATCTCGGCGAGATCTGTGGGATTCCCTCTGCATCCTCAATAGTCTGCCCGCTCCCGGCCTGCACCACTAGAGAGGTCCGGGTTAGGTAGATTTCCCTGCAGATCCTGTGCTAACCCTGGGAGCCCAAACTAAAATAAAAACATGAAGAAGTTGAGGCTTAAGGAACTAGAGAGTCGCCTGCAGGAAGTGGATGGATTCGAGAATCCCAAGTTACTCCTAGAACAGTACCCCACCAGGCCACACATTGCAGGTAGGGCAGCTGGTTCATCGGGCTCTCTTCTGGGTTTATTCCTGTCCAGTCCATGATGAAAATAAGTAGTGATTTGGATCTAATGATGTTCTTGAGAAACCCCACACCTTTGAGTAGGAAAAGGATTTCTGTGCTGTGTCTCTCTGCCCTACTAAAAACCAGAGTTGCATACATGCTTGTGTATTGAGGATGCGTTTTCATTTTTCACAAATTGCCTCTTGCATGATGCCAAAGATTGATACCGAGAGCGTAGAAGAGAATACAGGAGAATCCATTCATATGTAGCACCTGTTACGTAGTAGCAGGGAATACATCAAAATTCCTTTGGTTGGGGCAATCTTTTTCAATTCCAAAATAGCTATTTGTAAGCTGCCAATAAAACTCGTGGGGGAATACATGTGTTTAACCCTAAAATATTGTCGTAGTTGCAACCAAAGATTTGCATTAATCTGTGTTCAGATGTTATCATTGTTACGTATTTAGTGTGTGTATGTTCATGTGTCTTGTGTGTGGAGGGATATTTTCCTCAATTGCTCTCCGTAAGTTTTTTGAGTCGGGGTTATACTGTACTTAGAGCTTACCTATTCGCCTAAAAAGGCTTACCAGCAAGCCTCAGAGATCGTCCTGTCCCGACTCCCAGCGCTGGGTTTATAATTATGCAGCACCGCACCTGGCCTTTTACATAACTGCTGCGGATCTGAATTCAGGTTCTAATGCTTGCAGAGTAAGTGCGGTACAGACTGAGCTTGTCACCTACCAAGCAAGTCTCTGGCTTTCTCAGTGTAACTTCTTACAGCCTTCTGGTTGTAGGATTTTGTCATGAAATCTAATCTTATCTCCACCACCCCCCCCCCCCCCCCCAGGCAGGGTTTCCCTGTAGCTTTGGAGTCTGTCCTGGAACTCACTCTGTAGATCAGGCTGGCCTTGAGTTCACAGAGATCTGCCTACCTGTCTCCTGAGTGCTAAGATTTTAGGATTAAAGGCTTGTACCACCACCGCCTTATCACCTTTTTTTTTTTTTTCCTAGACAGGGTTTCTCTGTGTAACAACAGTCTTTGCTGTCCTGGAACTAGCTCTTGTAGACCAGGTTGTCCTCGAACTCAGAGATCCACCTGCCTCTGCCTCTCTAGTGCTGAGATTAAAGGTGTAAAGGTATGTGCCACCATCGCCCAGAGAAATCTAATTTTTAAGAGGCCAGGTATGGTGAAACATACAATAATCCCAGCACTTGGGAGTCAGAGGCAGGTAGATCTCTGTGAGTTCAAGATCAGCCAGGCCAGCTAGTGTTATGTAAATGAGACCTTGTCCCAAAGTAAATATAAATCAGTTCTTTCACACCTAGTTCGTAATGCACATGAGTTTCAAAATACCTGCAACAGTAATCAAGTGTCTCATAGTTGGTTTTAATTTTTTTTTTCTTTTTTTTTGGTGCTGGTAGCAGTGGCTAGTTCTGAAGATCAGCCTGGTCTACAGATCACAAAGATCCGCTTGCCTCTGCCTCCCTTTAATCCCGGGATTAAAGGCATGTATCACCACCATCCGGTATTTGTTTTAAATAAATGTCTGGATCCTCAGATAATAGTAATAGCTAGCAACCCTTGAGTTCTGATATACACAAGGAAAAATTGATGGTATTATTCATGTTTAATATAATGTACTTTTGAGAGTCTTGTTTTTGAGAACTGTATGTAATCTCCGCTACTTCTGCCCTGACCATTTGTTCTGTTATCAGGTCTGTTCTAGATTATGAGTATGTGCATCTACTGACATTACCTCTAAGTTCAGGTGGAGAGATGGCTCAGCAGTTAGGAGCTCTACCTGCTCTTCTAGAGAACCTGGGTTCAGTTCAGCACCCACATGGAGGCTCATAACTATCTGTAACTCCAATCCCAGGAGGTAGCCAGTATCCTCCTCTGGCCTGTATGGGCACCAGATGCCTGGTGTACATCCATGCAGGCAAAACAACAAATTTAAAAAAAAAATCTCTAAGTATATTGTGGATGTAGAAGTTTGAGATGCCTATATTCTTGTGATAAACATACTACAAATAAATTCTGTGCCCTTTGTTTATTGGGGGGTTGCACAAGTCTCTGCCCTCGATCAGTTCCGAGGAGAACTTCTGGCAGTTGGTCATTTATTTCCATCCACCAGGTGGATCTTGGAGATTGAATTTGGGTTGTTAGGCTTCGCAGCAAGTACTTTTACCCACTGAGAGCCATGTTGCCAGCCCCAAATCAGTAAAATTTCAAAATAGTTTTGAAGACATAATACAGGGTTACTAAACTTATTTTACCAAGAATGATAGACTTAATCATTCATAAAAATATCTCAGCATCAAAGGAAAAACTGCACTGTATCTATGTAGAGCAGATATTTTAAACATATTTTTCAGTCTTGGCATTGTCAGCAAAAGCTTCACATAATCCTGTAGTATTTGGGAACCAATGGTGTATATTACCTTCCTTTGTGATGCTTCTTCCTAAATACCAAACTTTATTTATTTATTTTTTTTGGTTTTTCGAGACAGGGTTTCTCTATAGCTTTTGGAGCCTGTCCTGAAACTAGCTCTTGTAGACCAGGCTGGCCTTGAACTCAACGATTCGCCTGCCTCTGCCTCCCAAGTGCTGGAATTAGTGTGCTACGCTGCCACCACTGCCCAGCCCAAACTATTACATTTTATCTTTAAACAATCTAGAGCTATATGTTGGGGAAAGACAGATTATTTTAGAGCCCTTTATTTGCATTAGATTTTAGTAGTAAGCTTGTTAATTAATTCACTAATGTTGGCCTGTTTTTTTGTTTTGTTTTGTTTTTAGCATGCATGCTATATACAATCCATAATACATATGATGACATTGAAAATAAAGTGGTTGCAGATCTAGGATGTGGTTGTGGAGTACTTAGCATCGGGGCTGTGATGTTAGGGGCAGGGTAAGTGATAATTTTTTTCTATTTGGATATGGTGTGGCTTCAGTAAATGTATATAGGATCAACTGCACTATATATTCATAGGACTCTGGGTAAGATGAGGGGAGTAATAATTTGATACAGAATACATTTTGAGTAGGTTAAAGATCAAAACTTTACTTTTAAGAAAGATATCAAGTCAGATTGTGGTGGCGCAGGTATTTAATCCCAGCCCTTGGGATGCAGAATAGGCGGATCTCTCTGAGTTCGAGGTCAGCTTGGTCTACAGAGTGAGTTCCAGGACAGCCAGGACTACACAAAGAAACCCTGTTCGAAAAACAAAACAAAACCCCTTTTGTTAATTGGGTTGAAAACTTCATGGTAAAATAAGTACCGTTTAAAAAAAAAAAAACAAAACTAGGAACCTGTAAGTTGCCTTTTTTTTTTTTTAAAATAGGTTGTGTGTTGGATTTGACATAGACGAAGATGCACTGGAAATATTTACTAGGAATGTGGAAGAGTTTGAGTTAACAAACATTGATATGATTCAGTGTGATGTGTGCTCATTATGTAACAAAATGTCCAAAGTATTTGATACCGTAATTATGAATCCTCCCTTTGGAACCAAAAATAACAAAGGTTAGTAAAAGTAGAGTATATTTGAATATTTATAGAGTAGTGATCTGGGTTAAGTGATTTTTTATTACTACTGTTTATTAAATTAACCACTTTATACTTATGAAAATTCATATTTGATGTTCAATTGGAAAATTTCATCTTTATTTTCAAATTTGTGTTAATGTATTCTTATTTCTGATTAATAACTGAAAGATTTGACTAGCCCCCATGCTTATAAAACTTTAAAAACATTTTTCTTTTGGAAACTGGATTTTTTGTTGTTGGTGGTGGTGGTGGTGAGACAAGCAGGGACTAAAACGGGGCTCTTACATGCCGAGAACATGTTCTCTATCACCAAGCTGAACATTCAGCTTCTAAAACTTGTTATTAATGCCTGTGGGTTTCAAAGCATGCACACAGGGACTTGCTGTGGTTATTTTTGTGTGTACTGTGGCAGGCCAGAAGTTGCAGTTCAACTCACACCACCACCATTAGACCACGGCCTCCATTCCCGTCTGCCACTTAGAATATTAAAATTTACATTAATCCTATTTTTTTCTAGCCAAACAGCCTATGGTTTCATCAGATTTTATTTTAAAGATTTGAGACAGGGTCTTACTAACTGACTGGCTTCAAATTCCCTCCTTTGCCTTTGAGTCCTTGAAATTGAAGGTGTGTGCCACCACGCCCAGCTTAAGATTTTATTTAATTTTGGGTATAGGTGTTTTGCGTGCATGTCTGCGTCACATTGTGCAGTGCCCCAAAAGGCAAGGACATTGGTCCTCTGGAACTGCAGTTAGTTATGAGTCACTCTGTGGTGCAGGGACTCGAACTTGGGTCCTCTGGAAGAGCAGCACTGAGCTGTCTCTTCAGCCCATATGGTTTTTTGTACGCCTTTTGAATAAATATGAAGTAGGTATTTTAGAGTTTGGAAAGAATACTACTATTCTTTTAATCCTATTCATTTATTCTACTCTGCTAAGAAATACATAATATAAATAGGAATTCTCTTTTTTATTCTTCACAGGTACAGATATGGCTTTTCTGAAGACTGCTTTGGGAATGGCAAGAACAGCAGTATATTCTTTACACAAATCCTCAACTAGAGAAGTAAGCTTAAATCATAACAATATTGTTACTTTTAGCCAGGTAATGGTAGCACACACCTTTAATCACAGTACTTGGGAAGCAGAGGCAGGCAAATCTCTGAGTTCCAGACAGCCAGGGCTACACAAAATAAAAAACCTTATCACAAAAAAAACACAATACGTGTGTGTGTGTGTGTGTGGGAGAGAGAGAGAGAGAGACAGACAGACAGAGAGAGAGAGAGAGAGAACATATTTTAAGAGTTTGGGGTTTTTTGTTTTGTTTTTCAAGACAGCCTTTCTCTGTGTAACAGTCATGACTAGCATAGACTAGGCTGGCCTCGAACTCAGAGATCCCCTGCCTCTACCTCCCAAGTGCTGGGATTAAAGGTGTGCACCACCACTAATGTTTTTTTATTTGGATGTAGATCTATTTTCAAATGTGTGTGAGCATGCATGTGCCAGGACACACATATGGAGGTCAGAGATCAACCTTCAAGAATCACTTCTCTTCACCCTGGGAAGTTTGGTCCCACCTCAGGGACCAAACTCAGACCCATCAGGCTTGGCAGCAAGTGGTCTTTACTCACTGAGCCATCCACTGGCCCAAGGTTGATTTTTAAAAACATGGCCTAGCTGGGCGGTGGTGGCTCACTCCTTTAATCCCAGCACTTGAAAAGCAGGTATTCTGGTCAAGGCACTTGGGCTTCAGTACATCTATACCATACGACCCTGTATTCTTAAAAATGATAGGCTAAAGCCGGGCAGAGGCAGTCAGATCTCCGTGAGTTCAAGGCCAGACTGGTCTAGAAGAGCTAGTTCCAGGACAGGCTCCAAAGCTACAGTGAAACCCTGTCTCGAAAAACCAAAAATAAGAGATGACAGGCTATATTTTGTATACTTTTCTGGATTAAATGAGTTAATATTTATGAAACACTTAGGTTCATGTCTAGCACATTTTGAAGTATGTCTGTTTGGCATAGTTAATTGATAATTGTTACGTACTATTCTTACCTGAAATAGTATATATACATTTGTGTTTTTAGATTTTATGTGGGTGAGTGTTTTGCCTGTAAGTCTGAGCAAACCATGTGTGCTTGGGCCCAAAGAAACCGGTAGGAGGCATCAGATCTCCTCAACTGGAGTTACAGATAGTTGTGATCTGTCAACTGTGTTGGGAATTTAACCCAGGTCTTCTTAGGAACAGCAAATACTCTGGGCTCTTTTTCTACCATCCTTGTCTTCACCCACACCTGCCTCAAAAAGAACAAATGAGAAAGAAACCAAGTATCAACCTGATCTCTACATGTCATGCTCAAACACAGGTATACATACGTACACACACACACACAGAGCAAAACTCGGGTCAGAGGAATACATTTGGGGTATATGGTAATCTAATAACCCTTGTGAAAATTTAAGATTACTTGCTGATACATGCCTATATTCCCAGCACTTGGGAGGTGGATGCAGGAGAATGATAAATTTAAGATCATCTTTAATTACAAAAGGCTAGGCTTGCACACACTAGACCATTTTTTACAAAGCTTGGATTTAAGCCCCATCACAGCATAAACCCAATTTGTGGGTACACCCCTCTAATTCCAGCATTCAAGTAGTAAATGCAGGAGGAGAAACTCAAGGTCCTCTGCTTCATTAGGAGTTTCAAGGCAAACCGAGATACATTAAGACCCTGTCTCAAAAAATGTAACTAGGCCAACAAAATGACTCATCCAGTAACGGTGCTTGCCAGCAAGCCTGTCAACCTAAATTCTACCCCTGTATTGTGTATTTTGTTGTGATACAATGTCCTGACAAAAAGCTAGAGGAGAAAGGGCTTATTTTAGCTCCTAATTCCAAGTTTCGGTTTATCATAGCAGAGAAGTCAAGTGAGGAACTTCAAGTAGTTAAGAGTCAGGAGCAGAAGGAAAAAATACATGCCAAGCTTATTGGCACACATAATAGTTCAGGATCCAAACTCAGGGAATGGTACTGCCCAAAATGGACTTGGTCTTTCCTCTTAATTAACATAATGAAAACAACCCTCTGGGAGCTTCCAAGACAACTCAAGAGGTTAAGAACACTTTTTTTTTTTCCAGAGGAATTTAAATGAAATGAAATTTATGTCCTGGCAATGCTGAAGCATGCACGGGCAGCCTATATAGATGGTTTTTGCTTAACCTGTCCATATTGGGTTTCATGGTCTAAGTTGCTGAGGATGACTGACCAGGGCTCTTCCTCAAAGGACCCAGATTCAATTCCTAGCACCCATGATGGCTCTCAACCACCCACAACTCCAGTTCCAGGGAATCTGATGCTTTCTTCTGACCTAGAGCACCAAGAATACACATGCTGCAGACATACACAAGGGCAAAAGACTAAAATCACTAAACCAAAAACAGACAAACAAAAAAACATTACCAACAGGCAAACAATCTCGATAATCCTGCACTGACATTGTTTTCCAAGGTATTTTAGAGTGTATCAAACTGACAATGAAAATCAATCATCATTGGGTTGGAGATGTGACTGTGACTCAATTGTTAAGGAGTACCTGCTACATTTGCAGAGAATCTGAGTTCAGCTCACAACAGTCTGTACTCCACCTCCAGGGAATTTGATGACTCTGGCCTCTGAATACACCTGCACTCAACATTCATATATCCACACACACCCAAATACCTAAAAATTGTGAAGGGGCTAGAGAGATGGGTTCGTGGTTAACAGCACTAGTTGCTTTTGCAGAGGACCTGTGTTCAGTTCCTAATACCCACATAATGTATCTGCTGCTGTATAGGAACACTGTTTAAACTACTTCCTTCTGATCAGATAACACTGTTCAACAGAGTCTGGAGGTGGTGGCACATGCCTTTAATCCCACTCGGGAGGCAGAGGCAAGTGAATCTGAGTTTGAGGCCAGCCTGGTCTATAAGAGCTAGTTCCAGGACTGGCACCAAAAGCTACAAAGAAATTTTGTCTCGAAAAAAAAAAACAAACAAATAAATAAAACAGACAACAGACGAGAAAAATGAGGTAGGTCCAGAATGAATACTTTAGCTAGGGCTACTTTAGTTAGGTACTAAGTAGTAGGACTGAAATCCCAAAGGCCGTGGCTCCAGACTATGCTTTTCTCTTCCATCCTGCCACTGGATGGCATGTTGACCCAGAACTGCTATTCACTAATGAAATAAAGCTACACTGTGTATGTTATGAATTTTGATGGATTTTTTGGTTAATTACATAATTTGGTTCAGATGCTAAGCAGCGAGGCCACTTTGTTCCTAGCTTTTAAAAGTGTACATATAATTAAAATTTGAGTCTAATTTTACTGAAAATTTTTAAGTTTTAATGTTCAGCATTAGATCAGATCTAAACATCAACTCATGAAAATATTATTTGTCTTTAGCATATTCAAAAGAAAGCTGCAGAATGGAAAGTCAAGATAGAAATTATTGCAGGTAAGCTTTATCTCAACCTTAACTGTTTTTTGTCAAGACAGGGTTTCTCTCTGTTGATCAGACTGTCCTGGAACTCAGAGATCTATCCACCTGTCTCCCTAGTGCTGGTATTAAAGGTGTGAGCCATCAGCTGGCTACAATCTTACTTAAAAGGCCAACAGGCCAGCCTAATTATTGGAGACAGGGTTTCTCTGTAGCTTTGGAGTCTATCCTGCAACTCCTCTGTAGCCTAAATTTTTAAAGTACTAAAAAAAAAAATCATGGAATGGTACCCAATTCAGTAGTAGCTTGGAAATGCACTAAACACACTAAACATTTACAAAGATCTGCCTGTGCTTCTTCCTATTTATGCATTTTCTAAACAAAAAATTAATGGCACCTAGGTATTCAGTCATCCAGGCCCTGACAGAAGATTACTATCATCAGTGAGTGAAAACATGGACCTGGACATGGTAGGACTGCTGTGAAGTCCACTATCTGTAAATGCCAGTGATTTATTTTTGATACATAGCTCAACACCAACCTTTCCTTTTCTGGTGGGAATATAAACATCCACAATATAAGAAGAGATGCCTTTTTTTTTCCATTTTACTAAGTTAAGTTTGCCCACAACACAACAGGAAAACCATTAGAAAACAGAAGTCATCCAGTAATTTTGAGAAACTTGAAATAAACAAGACTGGCTTGTGGTAGTGTGCTTCCTTAGCACACACAAGCGAAAACAGGGGAAATTAAATGTGCAATAAAAGGAACATTTTTATTTGTTTGGAAGCATGGTTTCTCTGCGTTTTTCTTTCTCTCCTTCCCTCCCTCCCTAACTACCTGTAGGTGTCTAAGAACTCACAAAGCCTACTAGATTAGGCCTTGTCTGCCTCTGTTTCCCAGTCCTGAGAGTAAATGCACATGCCATCATGCCTAGCCATAGTTTGCCATGAATTGGTCCTATGATGTTAAAGGATCTACCCAAATTCTTCATAAAGACATGTCTGTCTTCCTATTAAGTGTTGTCACAGAACTCAGTACAGAGCAGTTTATATTAGTCCCAACCGTATACTAATCCAGACCTTTGAGTGGTCTTCACATCATCAGCTTTAACAACCCTGGAGCTACACAAACAACAAGATTCCCAGATGACTTGGTCACATATTATAAAGAGCTATGGCCTGTAAGCTATATCCTTATATAGTTATGTCTAATTACATTAGAAATTACAAAAGATACTACTGGTCAATGGTGAAAGTATAGAGAATTTATGTTATAAATTAGAAAGGGCTGGGGTAGTAGTGGCACACGCTTTAATCCCAGCACTTAGTAGGCAGATGCAGGTGGATCTCTGTTGAGTTCAAGGCCAGCTTGGTCTACGAGGCAAGTTCCAGGACAGCTAGGACTGTTACACAGAGAAACCCTGTCTCAAAAATCAAAAAATAAATACATAAATAAATTAGGAAGGAATGTGAAAAATGGACCTTCATTTTGTTAGTGGAAAAAATAACTAGGACTATCCATTATTAAAACATGGACAGGCAATTTTTGAAGCATGAATATCATATTATCAGCTATAGATACATCTGATTTTCATAGAACTCCCCCCCATGCTTGTGAATTCTTTTAACTAATCTCCATAACCTCAAATTTTGACATGTGATCAAAACAGCAGAAACACTATGCACAACTTGACATGTAAGTATTCAAGGGTATGTCCAAAGTGATGGATGTAAAATGTTATGCATACCAGCACCTAATACTTTAAAGGTGATGTTTGGCTTGTTTTACAGAGCTTCGATATGACCTGCCAGCATTATACAACTTTCATAAAAAGAAATCAGTAAGTTTCCCAATTTTGAATATGTTCAGAATTCAAAAGCTTTGCAATATCACTTTTCACTCACAGCAAGTTGCATGGGTTAAACAGAAAGCCAGCTAGCCTGAGATTGGACAAATTAACTGTTGCCAAAGCAGTCAACATTCTAGTTGAAGTTCTTTGTGAAAAAATTTAAGAGGAAAAAAAAAAGAAAAAAAGTAAACGGTTGGCTATTTTTATACAGCATATATTTTACAAGTTTGTACTAATACATTCTCATATTACAAAGGCAATTAAGAGGAAGAATCTTCCTTTTCATATTTGAATCATCCAAACACAAACAGAACTATACATTTTAAAAAACTTTCATTTAGGTAACAACAACAACAAAAAAGACAAGTAAAACAAATTTTTTTTCCTTTTATACAGGTGGACATTGAAGTGGACCTAATTCGCTTTTCTTTTTAAAAGCTTCTGAAGACAAAAAGCAGCTTAAAATCTAACTAAGATGAATAAAAACACTGCTTACTAAACTACTTGTCTCTGGCGCCATTCTCTCTTTTCTTATGCTTTGATGCAGGCTCTTCTCTGTCTCTTCCATCTCTTGCTCTTTTCATTGGTCCTATACAAACACAAAGAACTCGTTAAATTCAATGTAAGCACTTGCTGTATTAATGTTTGCTACAATTACTAATAATAGCTTCCTTTAAAAATATTAGCAACTTCTCCTCAGGGAGAAAAGGCTTTTCCTTGAGTATAGACTTTCTGACCTTTATAGTTTTCTTTTAGCCAACCTCGCAATTGTGCAATAGCACAAAGGAGGAAGACGGCACTAAATGAAAAATATCACTTACACAGAGAGATAGTGTCTTATCAAGTACAGACATCATACACAGAGGACTCGAGACTTACCTGAACCACGTCGATGATGGTGATGATAGTCATCATCATCGAATCTTGTTCTCCTGCCATGAAACTGTCCTCTTCCTTTGGGTCCCCCAGCATAAGGAGGTCTGTTTCCTCTTCCTTTTCCTTTAATAAATCTGCGGCCTGTAGAAACACAATTGAGAACTTAGTCAATTTTAATCGTGTTGAAAACTAAGATTTTTCTCAAGCAAAGATGAGGTAAAATAACCAATTATTAATAAAAAAATAATGACCTCCTTTCGACTTCCATTTGTTTAGTGATTCTTGCTGATCATCCATGATTTTTTTCATCGCTTCCTTTTCCGCATGTCCTTCTAGTATTTTCCAAGTCACCTTTTTGTTCCTTAATTGTAAGTTACCATTATTTGCACTCCTGGCTTTCTCAAGTGCTTCCTTAGCTTTCTCTTTAAAGAGAATTATTCCCTACACAAAAAGAAAAGAAAAATGAATGTTTCACTCTTCAGTTTGTAGTCAGACAAATTTCTTTATTCAAAGCTATTTCCCAAACCCAGCATATCTATTATTGCTATTTCCAATGCGTCTTACTATATATTAGGAAGGAATGCTTTAAAAGTAAACTTCAGTCTCCAATATACCAAGTTTATATGCCCCCTTCCCCCACCTAAAAGAATTTTTTTTTTCTGGCTCATTATGCCTTCTATAAACCTTGTTGTAAGGTCAGCACACTACCCATCTGACATGGAAAAAAAAGATACCACATCTCGTAAAAAGACTTAAAGATAAAAGTAAATGACTAAGTAGAAACTATTTTAATTAACATGTTTTATTGATTACTTTTTCATTAAACACATTTTTTAAAAAAGACTTTCCTAGTAATTTTTATCTTCTAAGAGATAACATTCTATAGACTTTTAAATGAATTGCTAATAAGGATAGAGATGTTCACAAACCTCTTTTGCTCCTCTGACAAAGTCAACCCATTTTATTTCACCGTGATTTGAGAAAAGGATGTGTAAATCTTCTCTACAGGTCTGGTCATCCAAGTCACCTGAAAACTTCAGTAAGCACCCCATCTTTCCTTCTAGAGGTCGCTATAAAAATAATACAAGGCCATCAAAAGGTTTCCTTGAGAGCAACCTCACCAAAATGACTCACATCATTCTATACCTACATAAGGAAAAGAGAAGTCAGTGCTATTTTAATGCAGTTTAACTGTATTTTTCTCTGCTCTCCTGTTTTACAATGGTTTTATTTTATTTAGTTTCTCCTATAGGTGAGTTTATAGCTATCTGTTGATAAGTAATGATCTCAGACAATATTATCTGTCTATCACTGATGTAATGACACTGGTAGAATCACTTAGCCATTCTCTAAGAAGTCCTCAAACATGGCTAGAGGCATAAGCGGTGTATCTGGTATGGGCACCATGGGGACTGCCAGTCCATTCCCAACATCTCCCCCACCCGCTACCACACACACAAAAGTTCTCATACTCTAAAAACTCATTCTAGGGGGCTGGAGAAGGAACACTCCCCACTCCTCCAGTCTACCCAAATTGAGTTACCAGTTCAGATAGTTCACAATCACCTGTAACTTCGGCACCCTTTTCTGCCCACTCCAGGAACCTGCACACATACTGCAAACATTCCCAAGTATACACACAAATAAAAAACAGCCTTAATAAGTATTCTCAGAGGAGGAGCCAGAGGGACTTGAGTTCACTTTCTCACACCCACACTGTACCTCACATATGTAACTAACTTTTGAGGATTGGACACCCTCTTCTAGTCTCCAAGGGTACCTAACACACACAAAATTACACATATGGCTCATCAGGTCCCACAGAGACTGAAACAACAACCAGGGAGTCTACATGGGAATGACCTAGGCACTCTGCATATATGTTACTGTTGTGTAGCTTGGTCCTCTTGTGGGACTCCTAATAGTGGGAACAAGGGTTGTCTCAGATTCTTTTACAGAACTTGGGACCATACTCCTCATACTGGGTTGCTTTGACCAACCTTAAAACATGGGGAGATGCTTAATTTTACTGCAACTTGATATGCTTGTTTTGCTGATACTCATGGGAGACTTACCTTTCCTAAACAGAAAGGAAGGAGTTGACTGGGAAGTAGGAACACAGGGGTCATACGGGGAGGGACTGGGAGGAGGGAGGAGAAACTGCAGATGGGATGTAAAATAAATAAATATATTTATTTAAAAAATAAAATAGAAAAAATACTTAAACATGGTAAGGATTTATCTCTAGATAAATAAAATATAAAGGACCAGCAGATAAAGGTGCTTGCTGCCAAGCCTAACAACCTGGGTGCAATCCCTGGGATCCATATGGGAAAGGAAAGAACTAACAAGCTGTCCTCTGATCTCCACACAACTACAGACAGACAGACACCAACTTCAAAACGACATTCTAACTTAAATTCTTATGTATTAGGTATCAATACTTACTGTTTCAGCACTTCCTGACTTGTGTCTTCCTTCATGTTCTCTAAAAATAAATGTGTTGTGATTATAATATGTTTAAGCTTAACTAAGTAAAAATTCTAATAACCCCAATCACCATTACCACAACCAATTAATCATCAAAAATCAAAGCAATCCTCAGACTTTTTTGATCATACAACACCAGCAATATATGGCTTCCAGGTTATTAAGATATCTTTTCTTCTTCTTTTTTTTTTTTTTTTTTTGATTTTCGAGACAGGGTTTCTCAGTAGCTATGGAGCCAGTCCTGGAACTCACTCTGTAGACCAGGCAGGCCTCAAACTCACAGAGTTCACCTGTCTGTTTCTGTCTCCTGAGTGTTGGGATTAAAAGAGTGTGCCACCATGGCCTGATTAAAATGTAACTTTGTCTTTTTTCCTTTGGTTTTTCGAGACAGTTTCTCTGTAGCTTGTCCTGGAACTCAGAGATCCACCTGTCTCTGTCTCCCTAGTGCTGAGATTAAAGGAGTGCGCCACCACCGCCCTCAAGGTATTTTAAGACTAACATTTCACTACCAATAAAGACAAACCCATTTCAAAGCTCATCATCAGCTTACCCCAGAACCACTAGCTACACCTGTCAAAGCATTAAGAAATTCAAATGTGTCACATGAATTAAATACTTACTGTTTAGCTTTTAATTTAGCTTCCACTTTGCTCTGCTTTCTTTCTTCATTTTTCTTTGCAAAGTAATCTTCCCTGAAAAACACAAAACACAGACTAAGCTAACAAAGACAAAAATTACTTTAAGTTCTTTTTTTTTTTTTTGAGCCAAGGTTTCTCTGTGTAGCCCTGGCTTTCCTGGAACCCACTCTGTAGACCAGACTGGCCTTGAACTCAAGAGATCTGCCTGCTTCTGCCTCTCAAGGGGTAGGCCTAAAGGCATGTGCCATAGCCCAGCTGAAAATTACTTTGAGTACTTGAAACCCTAGCTCCACAAAGACTATCATACACTTTTTTTTCCCTTGTGATTTTTAAGTCAAGGTCTCACTGTTTATCATACATTGGCTGGGAATTTCCCATGTAACCCAGGGCTCAAACAAACAATCCTCCTGCCTGAGCCTTTACAGAGATGGGAATACAGATGTGTACTACTGTGGAGAGCTGCGTGGAGCCGCACCTTAAAAATGGTGCTGGCTTCCACCTCCCGCTATCCCGAAAGCAGGTGTTCTTCTTGGTAAACAATACCATATTTGGCTAAGGCCGGGCTCATGCGTTGATCGCGATGATTGTAAGCTGCTTGCTTGAATGGACCTATGGACAATGCCCACATGGCAATCCAGCATTGGCGGCCCAGGCCTACTTAAGGGCTGGGAGGGGCTTGCAAGAAGAGCTCCGGTGTTGCGTCTTCCTTGCTGGTCGAGATGGACGCGACATACTACCACACCCAGAAATTACATACATTTTCTGTCATCTAATCACCTAAAAACTCATGCTACAGAGGTCATGCACATGCATTTTACTAAGTACACATACTATAAAACTTAGCATCAAATAATAGGCTGTATAATACAAAGAAGTATATAACTGTCCTACGATTAACTTTATGAAAATGGTCTAGTTCAACAATTTTTTGCCACAGGCTCATTATGCAGCCCATGCCAGCCCAAACTCTTGCCTTAGCCTCCCACCTGTGACTACAGGAGTACTGGCATTACAGGCATCCACCACCATGCCTAGCCATCCCTTGTGGGTATTGCATGTATGGAGGACAAAAGTGTCTTCTACTATCAATCCCCACCTTACCTTTTGAGACCCCACATGAGTCTCACTAGAACCAGAGAAGCAAATGGCCACTAAGTTTCAACAATGGCCTGTCTCTACCACTCCACCACCCTGGGCCTTCTGCTTGCAGACTGGCACTTTAGTGATCACACCATCTCCACAGTCCTAACCTCATTTTTTTTTAAAGAATTTATTTATTATGTATACAGTGTTCTGCCTGCATGTGTCCTTGCAGGCCAGAAGAGGGTATAAGATCTCTTTAGAGATGGTTGTGAGCCACATGGTTGCTAGGAATTGAACTCAGGATTCTCTGGAAGAACAGCCAATGTTCTTAGCTGCTAAGTCATCTCTCCAGACCCCCAAGCCTCACTTTTTTTAAGGAAAAAAAAAAATTTATTCAGGACACAGAGACAGCCAGATCTATGAGTTCGAGGTCAGTCTTGTCTACAGAACCTACAGAACAAGTTCCAAGACAGCCAGAGCTACAGAGTTTAATCCTAAGGACCCATACACAGATAGAAAGAGAAATCAACTCCCCCATGTTGTCTTCTGACCTCCACAAATGTGCCACGGCATGATTGTAAACAATAAAGCTGGAAGCCAAGGGTATGGCTCAGCAGGTAAAAACACTTGGTGCACAAAACTGATGACCTGAGTTTAATCATTGGACTCCATGTAAGGCAGAAGGAGAGAAGCGACTAGAGAGCTGTCCTTTGACCTCCACATGCACACTATGGAACACGTATACCTACACCATACACACCTCAACTCACTAACAATACAAAAGCTGAAAAAAGGTCTTAAAAACCACTTTAATGTTCCCAAAATACTATTATAATTACCACCAAACACAACTTCCAGAGCATACTGAAAATAATATTAATTGTACAGAGGATGCTGCTGTTTATACCTTACTCACAGTATCAATTCCAAATAATAATGTGGCCTGAGAGATAAGCAAAAAAACTTACTTAAAGAGTATTAACAGGCTTGTGTCTTTGTACTTCTGACCAGGGGTATCCACAAAGTTCTTTGCAGACTGAATACTATCAAACACAGCAAATATTGACCCCTATAAAACGACAGAAAAAGATTTTCTTTAAAGTGATATTTTTCAACTAGAAAGTCTATATCAAATAATCATACCTTAAATGTTTTGTGCAATGTTCGTCTCATCTGAATATTCAGTATTTGACCTTTATCATCTAGCCATTCTTTTATGTCATCCAGGGTTGCATCAGTTGGGAAGCCTTTCTGTGAGAAGTGGAAAAAAAGTACAATGATTCCTGGGTAACAACTCTCCCTACAATAAAATTATTCTGTTTTGAAGTGAAGCCAGAAATCTAAGTGTCGAACTTTCTGTTCCTTAATTAATTAATTAATTCTGTCCCCTAATTAATTTATAATTTAGCAACCTTATTCTCTAGTGCAGTAATATGATTCACCTGAGATTTGTTCCAAAATAATCAGTTGGAGCAAAGACAAAACATTATTGTATGTTAAGAACTGAAGTTTGGCAATAGTACATTACACTATTCAGTCTACTTCCTTGTGTTTAAAGCTTTCTATGTATTTAGAAATTTATGAATGAAATTAACCAATGAAAATTACTGTAGAACTCAGCTATTAACAGGACAGGGTTTAACATATATAAATTAACAATGATAAAGTTTAGAAGTACACTTGCAAAAACACAGTAATAGGCCGAACATGTCCTGAGCCTTTATCCTTATTCACTCCATGTATGTTCCTTCTAAATAAAAGTAATATGAAATGCACTGAAGATCCACTTACAATATAAACAGATCTGTTTTTTACATCATTCTTATACTCATCCGTCACTTCAGGAAGGGGTCTGCTTGGAGATCTTCTGATTTTAGTTTTGTCTGCACTCACTTCCATAAGTTTTGCCTTAGATTTGCCCAGTGCTTGAACAATTACATTAAAGTCTGTTGTCAGTCGGTTTAGCCTAAAGAGTACACATATAAAAACATTATAAAAGCAAATATAGTAGTAGCTATCAACAGCAAACTTAATGACTCTTTGAAGACTTTTGGGTTTAATTAGCCCCCAAACTAACATAGTTCAATGATAGCACATGACCAAGTTCCTGGGTTTGATCTCCAGAAATGGGAATAAACCAATAAAAAGGTCTTACCTGTTGAATTTTATCATTGTGTCCAAAGGTACCCAGCCTTCATCCAATTTGATCTGTTCCTTTAAAAACTTGTCTCGTGGCAAATTGAAGTCTCCAAAATAATACTGTGAGTAATTATAATGTATTTCAGATGTTAAGAGTACTGTATAATGCTGAGTTCAATCAAATTTTTTTTGAAAACTATTTTTTATACTATCAAGTTCTATTCTTTAAAAATGTATGTTAGAACTTAAGGGACCATAATAGAAACATTTTTTCCTAAATAAACTATTAACAAAATATATACATATAACACATATCAAGAGAAAACTAAAATGCTAACGAACCAGTATAATAAATGTGTTACTAGAATAGAAAGTCTCAAATATAATTAAAGATCTAATAAAAAAAGCATTTCTTTCAGGTTGGAGCTATAGTCCAGTGGTTAAGAAAGAAGTGGTTCCAGAAGACCCCAGGATCAATTCCCAGCAGCTAACAACTGTCTGTAACTCTAAGATCTGGCATGCTCACATAAATATACACGCAGGCAAAACATCAATGCACATAAAAGTAAATAAATTATTAAAAAAAACAAAAATCCTTTCTTTTCCAGTCAATATGGAAAAAAGATTAAGAACTTGGGTTCAATTCCCACACTAAAAGAGGGGGGAGGGGCGTGTGACTACTTGGAATGTCAAAAGCAACATGAATGAAAAAGGTAAACATTTATTAAGATTCTTGTCAGGCAGCAGTAACACACACCTTTAATCCCACTTTAAGCCCAGCACTCTGGAGGCAGAGGCAGGGGGATCCCTGACTTGGTAGCCAACCTGGTCTACAGAGCAATTTCCAGGACAGTCAAGGCTACAAA